CTCTTTTGCCCCCCCCCCCATGTCTGTCCTGGGGGCCCGTGGCCTCTCCAGCATCCCCACCCCAGAGGAGGAAAAGGAAATAGCCCTCCTCTCCCCCAGGCCCCAGACCCTCCCCTGAGCTCCGTCCTCCGCCCTGGTCGGGCCTGGCTCCCGGCCACAGCCCCCACCCTCTGTTCTCTGGTGCCTTATCGGAGGCTGTGACCCTGGGCGCACCCCAAGGAGGCAGCCCTCACCCCCAGGGTCCCTTGGCCTCCTCAGTGAAGCCCCCAAGTGTCCTGACTGGAACACAAGGCCATACCCTCTCCTCCCAGTGCCCACAGAGCTCTGCCTACAGGTCAGTGCTCTGGGTCCGGGACAGGAACCCCTGAACTTGCCCCGAGCGCCGTCACACCCTCAGCCCCTTGGGCTGAATCCAGACAATCCTTGTAGCTATTTGGACTCCTTCTTGGGAAATGCTTTCAGCCGTGGGAGGCTGTGCAGGGGAGTCAGGGGGGCATCCCCCAACCCGGTCAGGCTGGCCTGTGGTGTCGGGGAGCAGGAATATTGACCCCTCCCTGAGGCCACAGTTCAGAAGCCCCCCAGGTGGAGCTCATGGGAGCCCCACTCTGGCCCTCTGGGGAAGCAGTGCCTGTGACGGAGGCAGGAGCAGCCGGTGCCCCCCACGGTTCTCCCACCTCCGCAGCCCAGGCCGCCTGGCAGGTCCCGCTCCTGCAGGCGCTCGCCTGGCCCGGGAGGCCAGGTTGTCCTTGCCCAGCAGAAGCCACAGCTCAGCCACTGCCTCGCCCACTTCAGATCAGCCCCAGAGCTGGTTTCTAGCCCCACAAGCAGCAGGCCTGGGAGCCAGACAGGAGCTGGAGCAGGCTGTCCCAGTCCTGGTGCCCCCCTGCTCTCCGGCCTTCCCTGTGAGTCCAGTGTCTGTCAGCACCAAGGACTGGGACCTCCCAGCCAAAGCAGGTGTCCTAGAGCCGAGGGTCCAGCCAGAGGGACTGTCATTTGCACCCGTTGCTCCCTGGTGCACTGTGAGTGGCAGGGGGGACGGGGAGGGCACAGGGAGGAGGCCCTGGCCCTGAAGCCCAAGGAGCCCTTGGGCTGGCTTGTCTGCAGGTACATGGACGTGGGTTTGGGGCTGGGAATCTGGTTTTTGTATTCTTAACGTCTTGTGCTACTGTAGTTCTGGTGTGGCACTATTGTAATTGAAATAAAGTACTTGTACCGTGGGCCACGTGACTGAGTGTGTGACTTCTCAGGGTGGTGTGTGATCTGTGGGCTATGGGAGGGCACCCTTTCCCCCCCCCCCCTCCCGCAGTGTCATCAAGGCCAGCAGCACCTCCTCCCAGAGCAGAAGCCTCGGATCCTGACACCTGCCAGGTTGCCACACAGGCTGAAGGCCCAAGAGGGCGGCATTTTTTTTTCCTGTTTCCCAAAGACCAAGTGAAGGGGCTCCTTCCACTTCCCTGCTATGGAGCCCCCACCCCCTTCCCCCTCCTCCTCCTCCCTTGGTAGCAATAGACCTTCCCACAGCTCATGCATGTCCCCGGCCTGGCCTGAGGGGTTTACCCTGCAGTTAGGAATTGGAAACACTTGTAAGATGCAACTTGAGAACCGCTGGGAACTGTGTTCGACCTGACATCGTACCTGTGGGTAAAGGGGGCAGCAGAGGCCCTGTCAGGGTGGAGGAGCCGCGGAAGGAGGGAGGGATGAGAGAAGGTTCTAAACGTGAAAGAATTTGGTACAATAATTACTCCATTGAGAAATGGGTGAGACCTTTACAAAGAAAACTGTAAGACTTGACTGGAGAACGTTAAAGAGAAGCTGAATAAATGCAGAGCAATACCCCGATCATGGAGGGAGAGGCTCCATAGCACAAAAGATTCCCCCAAATTAATCTGTCATTTCCGTGTCCTCTCAGCCAACTTTCTGAGTTAATTTTTCACGGGACTCGAAAAGCTGATGCACCTGGGAGAGAAAATGCACCATGGCCGGCCGAGACAATTTTGAGAAAGAACAATGAGGGAGCTGGCCTTTTCAAACTGTGTCATAAGGCTGCAGGGAACAATGTAGCTGGAGCTGGCGTGCGAACAGAGACACTGAACAGCTGGCATAGATCAGAGAACCAGAAACCATTCTCTGTGTGGGGGGCTTCGTGTAGGATCAAGGGAGCCCTTCGAACCGGCTGAGAAATGAAGAACCATTAAATAAATGGTGTTAGGATATCCACGTGGGAAAAAAAAAAAGAATCTAGATCCTGTCCCCCTCACACAGTTCTCACACACGTAGTTCACAACAATAAATTCCACATATCCTAGGGAACTAACCATGTGAAAACCATAGAAGTCTCATAACATACAGGGTGAGGCAAAAGTAGGTTACAGTTTTGGGTGCATGAAATTCTTGTGTTATTTATTGATTATTGTATTATTTTCCATATGAATAACTGTAACCTGTATCACAGAACGTGTTAAAACTATAAGTAGGCAAACCTGTCTTTAACAAAACAAATGAAAGGAAAAAATGTGAAAAATTAATACATCTCACAACATCAAAACTTAATGCTTTTCTACCCAAAGCTATCTACAGATTCAATGCAATGCCCAGCAAAATACCAACGGCATTTTTCACAGATCTAAAACAAATAATGCTAAAATTTATACGGAACCGCAGAAGACCCCAAATACCCAAAGCGATATTGAAAACGAACAAAGTTGGAGGTACGCTACCTGATATCAAACAATACTGCAAGGCTACAGCAACAAATTGATGCTCCTCAGATAGGAGGGGACTTGGGGAGCTGGGTGGAAAAGATAAAGGGATTAAGAAGTACAAATTGCCAGTTACAAAAATAGGAAGATGTAAAGTACAGCATAAGGAATATAGTTAATAATCTATATATATAAAAGGCCAATATGCTAAGTGTCCATCTGACTGGTTGCTATGACACCCACTGACCACCAGGGGGCAGATGTTCAATGCAGGAGCTGCTGCGCTGCAGGGACTTGGCAGTGGTGGTTTCAGATGATGCACCCTCAAACCAGAGAGGAGGGAGCCCAATTCCTCGCAGGGCCACATGATTCCAAATTCGGCCGTGGGTTATGTTGTTGCTGGGGTACTGTTGGCCCCAAATCTGGTTTACTGCATGCTTGCATTTGTGTTCCACACTGTATGACAGCAACTTTGTAGAGTGCCCTCTCGCACTCTGGAACCCCTCAGGGGATGTCAGCTGGTTTTGGCCCAATCCCTGAAGGCCAGGCTGAGGGACCCCACCTGCCGGAGGGATCCACTCACTCTGAAGGCATCCTTTGAGCCACGGTGCCACCTCAGGTGCGGCCAGCCTGGGAGGGACCACAGAAGGTTGGCTCCAGGGTGTGTCTGGCCCATCTCGCCCAGGCCCACCCTGCCGGCTACCTTCTAATTAATTTTTCAATGTGCATGAATCCGTGCACCAGATCACTAGCATTGTAATAATTGTACGGTGTCAGCTGGGTACTACACTTACTGGGGTGATCATAAGATACATAAATGTAATCACTATGTTGTATAGCTGAAATTAATAAAATATTGTATGTTAGTTATTGAAAATAAAATGTTAAAAATAATCTAAAATAATAATTCTTTTGTAAAGAGGATACAGTAAGTAAAATTAAAAGACAAGTGACAGAAGAGAGAAAAATGAAATGCAACATACAGAGCTAACGGTCCAGGATGTACTGGGGGGAAAAAAGGTGAAAGAGAGAGCAAAATATTTAAACAGACTATCCAGAGAAGAAGAAATACAAAAAAGAAAAAAGAAAAAATTTCAGAGGAGAGAGACCAAGATGGCGGCATAGGTAAACACCGGAGACTGCTGCCGCAAACAACCACTTCAAAAATACAACTAAAAGATGGAACGGACATCACCCAGAACCACAGGAAGGCTGGCTGAGGAGAGACTCTTCAACTAGAAGGAAAAATAACAGCACACCGAGGCTCAGAGGAGGCGCAGTGTGGAAAAAACTCAGGTGCGGAGGTGCGCGCGCAAAGCGGGCTGGTGGCTGAGAGCGCGGTTGTCGTTTTCGGTCAGGGGGGAGTCTCAGACTCTGAGCTCCAGATACGGGCGAATCGCTGGGGACTCGGACCCAAACGGGAGAAGCGGGAGTGTCTGGCATCAGTTGGAAGGCAGCTTTCCCTCCGAGGTTTGCAGCGGTTCCGGGGGTTCTGAGAAGCAGAGCCTCTGGGAACAGGACTGAGGGCACCATAACGGCTCCCTCCGCCCGCCCTGTTGAGCCCGCCCCGCCCAAGCCCTGCGCAGAGCCATTTGCCGGATCGCCG